ACGTCTCCTCCACATAGCCATTGTGTGCTCCGCAAGAAACCTACCCAGGCAGTGGCCCATAAAGGGAAAAGGGGTGGGGAGCTAGAGAGCAGGGGTGGAGCTGGTTCGCCAGCCACCCTAAATGGCATGTTACCACCACAGACACCCAGCCGCAGGCTGAGATCGGTATTAAAACCCAGTAGCCAAGGGAGGGGTGACACGATCCCCCTTCCCCCCCGGGCGGGCCTGCACGGGCCGGGCTAGGAGAACCTCTCTGTGCAGCGAGAGAGCCCCCGCTCCGGGGCAGCCGGGAAGGGCGGCGGGCAGCCACCCAAGCAGCCAGGGCCCGGGTTACTCCTCACCCGGATCGTGGGGAGGAGGGGAAACACCCACCACTCGGACTCTCCTATGGGTCGCCGAGCTTCTCGCGGCTGCGGCCTCTCACCCCACAGCACCTCAACTTTCACCGCGTCCTAGCCAGCGAGCGGCTGCTCCCGGCCCCAGGCCCGGACTAGAGACCCCGCCCCCCTCTGACCCTGGCGGCGCCGACCGGGAAGATGCGGATTGAGGAGAAAACCCCTCCCGGCCCCGGTCACTCACCGTCCGCGCGGCGGCTCTGCCTCGGGCAGGGCTCCGTGCGGCCCCGCTGCCGGCCGCTCCTGCCTCCAACCGCCGCGCGAGCGAGCGGGCGGGCACGCGCGAGGGGAGGGAGGGAGAGCGAGCGAGTCCCTCCGGATTCAATCCGGTTCCGGGATGGCAGGAGGAGAGAGTGCGCGCGCCGACTCCCCCCCAGGACTGGCGCTGCCAGCGGCGTCTTCCTCCCCCGGGTTCCATGCAGTGGGGGCGGGTCGCCGGTGACGCTATGACGCACGCCGGAGCAGGGGCGGGGAAAAAAGGGACGGATGGACCTTCCCACTGGCTAAGGTGAGCGTGTGTGCGTCAAGTACCCGGATGTTAGCCCGCCCCCTTTGTGGGGCGCTCTGAGCTCAGTCCCCGCCCCGGCTCTTGCTGGGTCTTGGACCAGCCCCAGACAAGGGCGGGTTGCGCTGGAGGGTGATGGTAGTGGGGGTGGGGCAGGCTTAGGTTCGTCACAACGGGGGGGCTCAGTCCCGGCCCCGGGCCGTTGTCACCCCGCGAGGGCGCTGCTCCCCGTGCTGCCAGCGCAGCGGGCCCCGCGTTCTTCCGGAGCCGGACACCGGCTGCAGAGGGGCGGGGCCCCCGGGCTGTGTGCGTGGGGCCGGCCCGCTGGAGAGAGCTGTGTTCGTGTTAAAGGCTGGCTCGTGTTTTACACGGGCACGTTGGTCGATGTGACCGTGTATGAGCCCTGGGAAAAGAAAATGTTTTAAAAATAACTTATTGTCACTTTAAATCTGTGCCAAAAGTAGGAGGTGAAGTAGCTGGAATGAATTAAATTCTGCCCCCAGGGGGAGCAGAGTGGGCCTGTAATCCGCTACCAAAGGCACACTTACCTCATGCCTAACTTCTGCATGTGTTTGTCAAAACCGTTCTTCAAATTCTCTGGTCATCACTCAGGCCAACTTTTACTGAAGGGTCAAATCCAGAGAAATTCTGAACGCCTGCAGTGAGCTGTGGATGCTGAGTATCTCTCAGGATTTAGCTCATAGCTAATAAGTGCATTATAAGAACTACAGACTTGGACCCATGGATTTTTATTTAGAACATAAGGACTTCTTACTTTTTCTCGTTCTAAGAATAACACACAGAGAAGACATGAAACTGAAAACAGGGTCTAATAATAGGAAGCACTGCCAGCTTTACCTATAATGAATATTTGCAAGTTTGCTAACGTTTACAAAAAGCCTTGATCCTGCATTCAGATTCCTGTGGAGAGATCTTTGTTCCTGCATAGATCTGATTACAGGATCAGGATACAAGTATCCTGCATGTTAAGCTCAAGAAGATAGCAAGGGCTGGCTCCATGCCTATCTACAAAAGCAAAAAAAAAAAAAAAAAAAAAAAAATCCTTTAAACTATGCAGCAGACAACTAAAGAGATTCCCAAGGAGTTGAAGAAGTTCAACTCTCACTTATTGGCCCTGTATCTTTATTTGGGCTTGTGCACCCGATGGGAGGTTTTGTAGTCCTACTATCTGCAACTGGGAATGTGAACTGAATTCCATGTCCAGTTTGAGATCAACCTGGCTAAACATTGTTAATTCTTTAGTACTGTGTACATTTGTGTACAGCAGTGATTTTCAACCTTTTTTCATTTGCAGACCCCTACAAATTTTCAAATGGAGTTGCGGCCCACTTTTGAAATCCTAGACAGATTGCAGACCCCAGGTTGAAAACCACTGTTACATGGTAACAACTTTTTGCGAACCTCTTAGACAAAGTCTGCAGACCCCCAGGCGTCCACAGACCACAGCTTGAAAAACAGTGGTGTACAGAACTTATGCTTCCAAATTTCCAGTGTGCTATGGCAGGACTTTTATTGTGATAGTGGGCCTCCTTGTTCTAATTACTTTTTTTGAGTAGGGAGAATAATTTTAAAGTACATGGACTTTTTTGTTCATGCCCTTGGCTGATCTCACCCGTAGATGTTCAGTCCCCGAAGGGAGAATCCAACCTTGCATCAATACATTAGTAGACTTGCTCATACTCAGTGAGCTCTCGTCCTCTACTCCACCAATCAACATAATTTCCATGAGCATGGCTGCCATTTAGGGTGATCAGGCTGGGTGGAATCACACAGTTGGCATTCTGTGGTTACTAAAGAAGAGGTGGTACTCAGCACAGTATGCAGTGGATACCACTGCTTCATGGTCCAAAAGGCCTGTGAGGGTTCTGTGAGTAAGCAACTGTGGAGGCAATTTTCTGCTGGCTCAGGTCCAAAATGAATGAAACTTCATTCTGGTTACTTATAAAGGGAAACTGAGTATCTATGCTTATGCCAGTATTGTTTTGCATGTGGAACTCCTATTAAAGTCAGTGGGAGGTTGGGGTGTGAATTATGCAAAATCTAATTGAGTCTCAGGCCAAATGCCATCCAGTTCTTTCTACAAGTCTGAAATAAAAACTCTGATCAAGTGTCAAGCTGTTCAGTTGTGTGTGCAGGCTCTGAGAAACTCCTGCAAATTAGTAATTATGAGTAAAATGTTAGAAGTTTCCAAGTCTACAAATAGGTTCAAATTATTTGCCAAGAACCAGTCTTCTTACATGTCAGTTGTTCCCATAAATTTTAAAACTCTATCTCAAGTTGCAAGTAGATATAAATACCCAAGTTCAGAATAGTTTTTATCTTGCAAGAATTTGTGCATGGGAATTGTGTGTACACCAAAAATATTTAAAGTTTTGGTGAGTGCTGTAAATATGAAAATAAGTACAAATGCTTTCAAAACACATTTACAACAGATTTACAAGTATGTAAGCATTTCTATTTAGCAGGATGTAAAAATCAAAAGTTTTGGTATCGAATTCTGCCTGCAGATCTGTACATGCAAATTCCACTGTTTGTATGCACAGATCTCAGGGCTGGTCTACACCCAGCCGCTAGTTCGGCGGCTGGGGATCGAAGTTCCGGGTTCGACTTATCGCGTCTGGTCTGGACGCGATAAGTCGAACCAGGAAGTGCTCGCCATCGACTGCGGTACTCCAGCTCAGCGAGAGGAGTACCGCGGAGTCGAAGGGGAGCCTGCCTGCCGCGTGTGGACCGCGTCTGAACCGCGGTAAGTTCGAACTAAGGTATGTCGAATTCAGCTACGTTATTAATGTAGCTGAATTTGCGTACCTTAGTTCGAATTGGGGGGTTAGTGTGGACCAGGCCTAAGAGAGGAATATATATATAAACAACAGAGACCTCATACCAAGTTCAAAATACACATCGAGGGCCAACTTTTCAAACAAAGGCACACTGGAAGATTTGCCCCCTTCCCCCCATTTTTTTTAAATCCCACATGGTGGCACTTCATAATCCTTTCCAGCAAGGATTATTAAAAACATCAAACAGTAAAACGGGGGTTCATTTTGTAATGTCGTAGGATAGCAACAATACTAATACTAAGCCTCACAGCATTTGGCATACTGACATTATAAGAGAAGTGGTTTGAGAAGCTCTCATGACCTGTTAGATTTCTCTTACTGTTGCCTCAATGCATTCTGCCTTTAATCATGAAAGACCTGTTTGCTTATAGGAAGAAATAGTATTTTAACCCTCTTCTACATTACCATTATGACTGAGTCAAGGTCCCTGCTTTCAACACAATTATTCCCATACCCAGTTATAATAGTTAAAACTTTTAATGTAGACAGCAAACTGCCAACTGGATTTCTATAGCAAATCGTGGCCTGTCCAGTGTTTTAACGTTGTTACAGGGATGGGATTAGGTCTAGACTACTAATTTTGATCATGATATAACTATATCCCTTGAGTCTGTCAAAAAGTGTCAAGTAGCAAGATACAAAGGATTAATGCTCATCTCAAAGAATGCAGAAATTTAGTTTCTTCATGTACTTCAGAATAAAATGTGCCAATGAATGAAACTTGTCTATTGAATTGGAAGAGTAGAACATTGATGACTTTGATGATCCTGCAAATTATACTTTTGATACCATCATAGTCACTGAAACAGTAGTAGTTTAAGTGTCCGTTCCATGACTTCTACCAGTGACTCAGAATCAACTTCAGTCAGAAAGAGTCTGTTTATCTTTGAGGCACTAGCCCATTGGTGATTATGCCAAAACAATTGGGGTGGCCTTTTTTGGTGGAGTAGGAGGAGGGTTTTTTAGGTTGGGGAAAATGACAAGTCTGTGGTAAATTAAAATACTCCAGAAAACGTAAGTTCTCAGCATGCATTATTTTACCAATCCATAATAAACAGTACTGTTTATTATGATGAACAGAAAAGTGTAACCTCATTAATCTGTGGCCTTCAATTGAATCAAAAATAAAAATCATAAACATGTATAAAATAAATGTTAATCTGAGATCGGCACCCTATTAGGCCTCATGACCCTTGCTGTGACTTGGATCAAATATTGTGAGATGCGGGAATCAGCTAATCATGATGCTACTTCTGAGATATGAAAACGAGACATAGTCAGCTGAGCTTGCATAGGAGGATATGCTCTTCTTGACTGAAGCAAAAGTGTTCCAAAGACTCCAGTTATAACTAAAAATGCCATTAGCAATCCTCCAAGGATCAAGGTTTCAACTGGTGGAAGTTTTCCTTTATCTGGGGGGGGAAAAAACAGAGGATTTACAAAGGAATTACCTGTCATCAAATCCATCTGACGATATTGTTACTTGGGACAGAAGGTGTTTTTACAGTCTTAACGGTATAAGAATTCATTAGGATCCAATTCTGAACAAAGTTTACATAGCTCTATCGAATGCATAAGCTCCAGAAGGCAGCAAAAGTGAGGGGCACCAGACTCACTTATCTTGGGAACCATTAGTTTGATGTGTATTGTCAGGAAGAAGGAAATCACACCTGAAACTCAGGTTCAAGCAGCTTGTTGGGGGTGAAGCGTGAATTCATGTAAATGATCTCCCTATCTTCTACATTGCATATCATCAACCTTCACTATCCCTTCTACTTGCAGGTGGCATATGGAGGCAGCAAGGGAGGCATAGGGTGTGTTTAGTGGAGGTGAGGAAAGGAACAGGTTTCTGGTCTTGTTTTTAAATAAAACAAGAAAAAGTCTGCCCTGCAAGATGTGGATGTCCTCCTCCTTCTCCTCCATTTACTGATTGCTATAGTGGGGAGGTGATTATCTTGATCCCAGCAGGTCATTTGTACTACTGTTTCAGACCAGTCAGCTACTTGAAGTCTTCAGACCACTAGGCCCTTTCTGAATTTTTCTGTGTCAACTGGGAAAGAATTGATCTCTTTGCTGAGAAGTTGGGGAGACGATTAGAATGGTAGAATTCTCTGATATAATCCCATGTGTGGCAACTGGGCTGGGCAGAGTGTTAGGGCTGGATTCTCCTTTCAGTTACACAATTTCTACAATGGTGTAACTATGGTAACTGTAGTGACTTTGATGGAGTTACTCCTGATTTACAACAGTGTCAGTGACAGAAGAATCAGGCCCTCCAACTCCACCACTCTGAGGAGCTGGATGGATGACCGAATTGGACATCACTGTTTCCAGGGGACCTCTCCAGTTCAGGACAAAGATTAGCTTCTAAGGGTATGTCTACACAGAAAAAAAAAAAACAGACAAAATCATGGCACTGTCAGAGCCCAGGTGTAGACTTGAGGTCATGCTACAGCACTAAAAATAGCCATTCTGACTCGGGCTCTGACGCGGGAAGGAGGGTGAGTTTCAGAGCCTGAGCTCCAGTCTGAGCTGGAACATCTACATGGCTATCTTTAACACCATAGTGCAAACCCCACAAACCAAAGCCTGTAGACCGGGGCTCTGAGACTTGCTGCCGCAAATTCTGTAGACTCAGAATTCTGCTGTGTAGACATGCCCTCAGGCTACAGAACAGTCAGATCCCTACAGTGGGCTGACCGCAGCCACTGCTCCTGTGGTGGGGGCTGACCGCCACTGATGGTTAACCTGGCCCTGTTGTTTCTACTCCAACCCCAGGCTCCTGGTCTGACGGTGGCGGCTGCTGCTTCAGTGGCCCCAGCCACTACTCCAGCTCCCACCATTGCTTCTGAGTGGGGGCTGAGAGCTGCTCCAGCCTCGCCACTGTAGCAGGCTAAAGCCAAATAAGTCATGGAGGTCCACTGAAGTCACAGAAGTAAGGTAAAGTATAGATTGACATAAAACATAGATTTACTTAATCACATAAATAAGAAAACTCATATGGTTTCCATCGCAGCTCCCTCATAATAAGGCATAATCATATATGGGTGATGACACAGGGCCATTGACTTCTCTGGGAGTTTAAGGTTTCCAGACCCATCCAGGAACTGGCACATAATAAAAATTAATATGCATTGGGCAACGAAGCTAAGTTGTCTGTGATATGCATGAGTTTGAATGTCCTGGATTTTGTGTGTTTAAATTTCTCCTGTTAATGGAATATTTATGACATTTTTAAAATTTAAAATATACCAAAATGGATCACACCAGGCTACATAAAACATTATTTTTTGAAACACGGCTTTATGAATCACTTACTTATCTTAGCTTCTCCATCATCTGCCAGCTTTCGCTTGATGGGACCATAAGAGACTGTGTGAGTAGGAAATGGTGTGGTTTCTCTTTTATTCCTGGTTATTCTTCCATAATTAGTACAATTCTGATAAAAAAGAAATTGCAAACAGTAAATATCCGAGCCTATATGCATACATGCTCCTCAAAGGGAGGTAAAGAAATTCACACTTAAAACTGTTTGCCTGATAAACACAGGCCTCTGATTAGATGAAGGAGCAACAGAATAGAGCAATGCTGTGAATAGAGCAATGTTTGAGATGAGCAGAGTCATCTTGCTCCAAGAGAGGGCAGTGATAACCATACACACACACATATCATATACTCAGTACTTAAGACAGAGGTTGTCCTGAAGTCCAAAGCAGGAGTATCTGCTATTCAGGAAAGTCATAGTGGAACACAAACCCTTATCATGTAGGTCACTGGCTCAAATTCGGGTCAGGTCAGTAGTGACCTGATCTTGCAGACACATACATGTGCTTCTCTTTGCTGAACAGTAGTGTCATTAAGCAAAGTGGGGTTACCTGTGAGCAAAGCTAAATTGTTACCATCTGGTGGCTGTTCAGTGACCTATTAGAAATGAATTTGGTAGATTCCATTTTAGTGGACAAGAGTCCATATTACAAGAAAAAAATCCCTCACCTGCACAATGGTACTAACTGGCACCTTTTATGCCTTTCTCAGCAAAAAGACAAAGGATTGATTAGACTTGGAGATGGAACTGCCCTCTCATCCCCCACAATTTAGTGTTAGGAAAGCATGGGAAAGTTTGCCAGTTGCTGATCATTCTGTACTTATTCTGTGGATAAATTGGGGTGCATTTTCCTCTGCTGCCAAACTTTTACAAGCACCAAAATCATTTAGAAAAACAAAAGGCTCTCTTAAATCTATGTGTTCAAGTCAAGCTATCATCTAAGAATGAATTTGCAATGATCTGCTCATATGTGTATATGTATATGTGTGTGTGTATTTATATGAACAAATCATTACAAATAGATATATTCAGTAACAACAATAGAGAGAGGAAGTAATAGGATTCAAACCAGGACATTTGATCACAAACTACAGGGTTCTTGCCTGATACCTTAATGCATAATTTCTAGCTGTACTTATATTTCAGGTCTGGTACCAGGTCCTCTAATAAAGTACTGGATACAGAAGTAAATTGAAATGTAGTTTCTAGACTGCAGAACACTAAGCATTGGGGTAATAGCTAAAAGTTTGGGGGGTTGCAACAAGCCCCTGAACCCACTTAGGCACCTATTCACTTTGCAGACTTGTGTTCTTATTTCTTTCTCTCAAATATTAATGGGTGTGGCTAAAGGAAAAGGTTCATATTAGCTCATCCAGTGCAAAGAAATGCTATTCTTTAGCAGAGCCTAATCCCATGGAGGGCAATTTTATATACACACCAAGAAAGCACAGCTGTGGTTTAACTTTTGGTGTATTGCAGATGCAAAGGATAGTTGCTGTTATAGTAAGAATGGGTAGCACCCTGTTGGCACTGCAGTAAGAAGTGGATAAATCACAAGTGGATAAATCAGGGGCACTTCTGCCAGCTTTATAAAAGACACAGGGCTCTCAGTACAAAACACTGACAAACTCCAGAAGTGAGTAATACTGCTGGGAAGGAGACGTGGCCAGGGTAGCAATAGCACAATGATGCACATATTTAAAAATATTGTTTTGGAAGGTCCTGCACATCCAGAAGGGACAATTTTCAGATATTAATACATTTGGCCGTTCTCATTTTATACCCCAAAATAAACAATGAGCTTGATCCAGCCAAAATGATCCTTCATGGCTGCTGTCCCATGGAAACTGTACTGGTCCTTTAGTCTCTGCAATCATGGAAGATAATCTCTAGTCTGAGGAAGAAATGTCCCCTTTCCTGCAGTCACAGGTCAAATCAGTCATCCTGTACTTTCCCCTTTCCAAGGTCAAAATTAGAGGCTTCTCCCAGCCCAAGAACAGATTTAAAAATTTTATTAAGATGATGTTAAAAAAAATAGTGAACAGAGTTTGAGCATAGAAGTTTCTGGTTATCAGGGAATAACATACATATTGGCATTCTAGTTCTTGGGGATGATGTTGGGGAATTCCACTTAGCAATGACAGGGAATCTCTCACATTCTTGTGGGAGACTGGGTTCTTCCCCAGCGCTCAGTAATCTGGAGGGCGGGGATGGGTGGGGGACTTAAAAGGTTTATATATCTGAATAGCTGTACAGTTTGGGAGACAAGAATTTTAAAAACAAGGATCAGGATTCAAGAAACCCTCTGCATCCATAACAAAACAAAGATCAGGAGACAGAAATTCTACCCTTTCACTCCCTTGCAACACACTGGGGACTGGACATCCAGGTCAGCTGCAGAGACAAAAATAAAACTCTGTTCATTGGTTGGGCTCTGAGCCCATCAATCCCTCCACTCACAGCTGTGCAGGGAAGTCACTAGGGCTGTAGTTATCCACATGGTGCTGTGGGAGTTTTGTGAATGTCCTGAGTCGTGGGAGTTGTGCAGACCTATAGAAAGAGGGCTGGTTCATTTACAGAAGTCTGCTGCCTCCTGGGTAGATCTGCAATGTGCAGCCACAAAGCCTTTACTTAAAGGCTTCTATTGCAGGCTGACCTTTCTACTGAGGAACTGGGATCCACATCCTCCCAACTTTTGGGGTCCCAGCTTGGGTGACCAGATGTCCCAATTTTATAGGGACAGTCCCAATATTTGGAGCTTTGTCTTATATAGGCTCCTATTACCCCCCACCCCCTGTCCTGATTTTTCACAGTTGCTGTCTGGTCACCCTAGTCCCAGCCCACATAGGCATTTTCATCTCGGTCAGGCTTTAAAAGGTCCCAGTCCGTATATTGGCCTACCAGCTCGCACAATTTCATCCTGTTCCAAAACCTGAAAAAAACTGGCTAGCAGTAAAGGACTGCAAAAATCTACCCAACACCAGAGGCTAAATTCAGGCTTGGTGTAAAGGGATTCAACCGCAATGGAGGTTGAACTATGCTATTTCCCTATGGAATTGCACTTTGTTTTACTGGGTCTGAATTTGGTCCCAGATATTTAAGGCCTGATTCTCTTCTCACTTACATCAGCTTTACGTGTGGTAAGGCTATTGACTGCAATAGATTTACTCCAATTTACACTAGTATACGTGAAAAGAGATTACAGGTCAAAAGAGGTAGGGGTTTTTTTTTTTTTAAAAGGGAAGTGTACATTGTTTTCTGGGCATCTTATAAAAATCAGTCTACATAACTAGGTGCATAGCAACAAATGACACGTATCAAGAAACAGACAGATACCCTAAATTGTCTATGGCAGATTTTACTTATGCTGAGCTACTGTCTTGTGTGACTTTCAGACAAAGCATCTGGTTTTATTTGAGTCAATTTCCAAAATGTCATACTGACTTCTTCCTTGATTTCTTTTCTTGCTTAATATGTCTTCCTGGTAGCTTTTCAGATGTAATTCTTGAGGAAACAAACCACTGTACAAAGCCTTGTTATCATTATGCAGCTGCTGTTAATGCCTAAACATCTACCATCAAAAATCATTCACGCTGATATTGCATTCTGTGCCATAATGTCAGACAAGTACTGAGCAAGCTGTACTGTATCTTCCTTTCTGATGTCAAAAAGGTTTCGCTCCTGTTCTGTACTGCGAACAAAGATATAATCAATCTCCTTGTTAATAATATAAAATTCAACTGCATGGACAGTTTTAAGGAACAGTGTGGTTCTGAGGTGGAATATTATATTGCTCCCCTTAGAAAACTTGTCTTCTGTGTCACCATCCCATAAATTGTCAGCTGAATGCTGGTAAATGTCACTTAGTTATAGCTCCTCTAGGATCAACTAATATTTCATGCTTTTTCCTACCACATTATATTATCTGATGAAAGGATGCAAACTCTGCTATGTGTTTTGCTACCATACTGACATGTCTGAATTAAGCTGCAAGCTTACAGCAGCAGGGCCCTCATCTTCCATATGTGTTTGTACAATATTGGTTACATTGATGGTGCTCTAAAAATAATATTATAAATCAGTCCAAACTATGTGACCTTGCTCAGGCAAAACACTCTTTGGTGTCGATGGGAATTTTGCCTCTGGAAGGTCTGAACAAGGACCACAGGACAACAGTAATTAATATAGCACTTCACATTTGCAAATTGCTATACAAACATTAATTTCTCATGACAATGCTGAGAGTTGGGCAAGTGTGATGGTGTGCAGGGACACGACGTTGTCTTTAGGGAGCAAGAAGGTAAGCTCATCTCCCCCTCCCTTGGCACGGGGGGGAAGGACTTAAAAATGGGCTACTTGGGAGATTGGAGGGCGGGGGAGGGATGCCAGTGGGAATGGAGTCCACAACCAGAGTTGTAGAACTTGGCTGAAACTCTGGTGGAGGGAGTTTTCTGTTACTCTTTTTTACTTGGTTAACTTGATTTGATTTCTGGTTATAAACATTATCTTTAAATAAAAACCATGTTGACTGCTCCTGGGTTTGCTGTTTAATCGTTCTACCAACTTACACTAAGGATTACTATTCTAAGTTTGCAGGTGGGGAAGCGGAGGCAGAGGGCTAGGTGTCTTGCTCAAGGCCACACATCAAGTAAGTGATAGAGATTAGAATGTAGGAGCTCCTGATTTCCAGACCTGCACTCAGTCTACTAGACCACATAGTTTCTCCAGTTTGGCCCAATAATAATAATAATAACCCCACCCCAATCCTCATATACACATGGATATATAAAAAACTTACTGGCTTGCAAACTGCTGTACTGTGACAAATCTGAACTGTGCAGTGTAGGAAAATGTCATTGTAAGAGATGCCAACAAACTTGAACATCTGGATCCTAAACATTGCTTCTGCACCTCCACCATTCATTATTACTGACAGTGTTTCATCTTTGACAACTTGGGGGCAGCTATGTAGGATAAAAGATATAAAATAATTAGATCTCAAGGGTCAAAAATCTTTGGCATTCATCTGTGTTATATCAGACGCTAGAGGAGATTTAGCCAAACAGCAGTGTCAGTCTGATGGCTGGTCTTGTTTGTGCATCCCTCACATTACTCAAGGTTAGAGCTGGTCAGAAAAATGGTAGCAATATTTGATGACTAAAAATGTCTTTGCAACCAAAATAAAAAAAATTACAGAAAAAATTGTTTTGATACACATTTTTGAATTTTTATTGTTACAAAAATTTTAAAAAAAATGTAGAAAAAGCTTCAGATCTCTGGGTTTTCTATGCTCCCCTTCTCTCATCTCTAAAACTATTTTTCCCTACTTTCCCCCCCACTTTTCCAGTGGGAAAAAAGTAAGAAAATGTGAGTAAAAACCCCATTCTTCCACTTTTTACTCTCCTCCCCCTTTTCAAGTGCATAAAAGAGGGAAACACATAAAAGTAAGAGAAAAAGAAAAAATCTAAATGATTTTTTAAAAATTCAAAATGAATTGAAACATTTAATTGCATTTAAAAAGTTTTAATTGAAAAAATGCCTCAAGCCTAATAAAAATTGTTGCAGGTAGTTGGCTTCAATATAAACACCTTCACAATGTGAATGTATCAACCTCAGAGGGTAGGAGAATAAGGCACCTAAACTACAACCTTAATGATGCACAGCAGTGCCATTTTGAATTGAAATATTTTGGGTTTTGGCCAAAATATTTTGTTTTTTCAGGTATTAAAGTTTTTCAATGCAACATTGAAATTACCCAAGGATAGCCAAAACTTTTATTAAATATTTTGTTTAGTTGAAAACCCAGTTTTCCATTGAAAAACAGTTTTGATAGGCAATATTCAACTAGCACTAATGTGGGATTCTTTTTATTTGCCTTCTGGTTTCTGAGACATTAGGGTACACTTGAGTCATGTTTTAAAGCTTTTTTCTGCAACCATGAGGGCTAGAAACTTTCTTTTTTTTTAAATGATAGCAGAGTTTTTAACTTTGTCCCTTCACTTCAGGAACTGCAGTTTTAAGAAAAATACCAAATAGAGCAAGACTAACAATAAAATTGCAAAAGTTGGCAACACTGAGATTCCTGAAATGCAAACTATGAACTTTGAAATTTGAGTATTCACACCAGAACCTTGTTACTAAGAGTTGCTCTCATCCAGTCTAGGAACAGAACTAATAGCATGTGATCTACATGTCCTGTCAAAACTAAACAACACAATTTTAATTTCAAATATAAAATAATTGCATGAATGGCTTGCAAGCCAATCTGCAGATCAAGAATTATTTGTAGAAATGTAGAAAATCCTATATCCTATGCAGCAGACAGACCTAAATTTTGTGTGAAGGAGCCCAGAGTTGTGTTGTACTATCCTCCAACCTCGTTCCCCTCCAAGGCCTCTCCAACCACCACAGTGTTCCTTGATAGTGTTTCAGATAGAGAGTGAGAGAGAGAGTCATTTTATTTTACACTTCCTCCACGTATTTAATTTTCAGTGTGCTGTAGATTTTTGTATTGAAAATAAGTAAGTGCATTATATATATAGCTGTCAGGTTGTGTTAGGAGATAGTTGGGGCTTTCACCATTTCAGGAAGGCGTGGTTTTGTACCTAGGAGGCAGTTGAAACTTTTGGTAATGGGGAAAGGATATATCTCCTCTGTCCCTTCCCCATCTGAGAAGAGGCAAAAATACTTTAATGTGTGAGGAGAGGAGGGTTTGAATTCGTTATTCCCCATCCCAACAACGCATGACAGCAAATAGTTACCCCACTGCACCTTATCCCAGTATCTGCCATTCCACCCAACAATGGAAAATAAGCACATTATCTTGGTATTTCTGCTAAAATTATCATCAGTAAAAAAGCTAAGGTATTTAAACTGTTCTGAATCTTCACTGTCACCACCCCACAGAGATGAATTACAGAAGTTTATGCTACTTACGTTACAAGCTGTGTGCAGACTCAAGGCAGATCTCACATTATTGGTTTACATTACCTCACACTTGAAAAGTTTTTCCTTCCCAACTGTATGGTATAGTGTGACATTTTGGAGCCCACCCAGACTGGTAAGACTGTGTTTTGTTTTTATTTTTAAATGAAATCTTAGATTCTGGAATATAATTGCATGGGAATTTAAAATTATGTAACAATTTACATGTCTGCATAATCACATTATACACAGGGTCCAGCTAATGTATTTTTAGAATGATGTATCTACTATGTATGCTGGGATACAAACCTATCTTCTATAAAGGAATATTGAACAGCATGAGAAGGATCCTTTGTTGGTGTAGACCAGCAGTTTTCAAGTTGGATTATTAAATGACCTGGGACCTGCCAGAGGACAGAAAAAAATGAATCTGATAAGAATGTAGATTTCCATCTTCAACATATAATATTCTCACCATCTCTTAGGTGCTTGTGACAAGTTCAAAATACGTTAAGGATGAAACCAATAGTTAGATCAAATTGGTTACGCTATGTCATGATTCAAACTCTCCAACAGATGGTTGTGTTGTTGAGACCCCCTTGCATCCACTTGAAGCATTTCCACATCGACTTTCAAACTTCACTGAACTATGAGGGCGGCCAAGGAAATTATGTGTGTGTGGGGGGGAAAGGTGAGTAGAAGAAAAGTGGGAGACATAGAAGGACACACTGGAATGTCTTAATCCATCCTCACAGGTTCTCCAGTTTAACAGGCCTTCTCAGGTCCACCAGAATGAGAACTCCCCTCCCAAATGAAGTTCTCCAGAAGGAGCTATCTCCAGAGTGAAACTTGTCGCTCCTTCTTGAGACATCCCAAGCTGCAAGCATCCCCATCTCCATGATCCCCTGCCTGTAATAAGGGCTGGGACATGGTGGGAGGGGACAAGGTGACGGGGAGCTTTGCAGCTGAACAACGCTACCAGCTCCAGTCCTTTCTTCTGGCAGATTATTTCTCTGGTGAACTTGTGCCCATGATTCACTGTTGACGAAGGTCTGATAGACCCTTGGTCAGACTGGGCCTCTGTATGCTTTACAGCCACAAAAGGGTGGGGATAGATTATGGGGGCATTATACATAAAGGGGGGGGGATGTAGTTGTAAGCAGGGAGCATGGATGGTGAGGGGTATGGATGGGGGCGGATATGGCAAGGGGCTCAGAGGTTGTTGAAGGAGCTGGGGAGCAGAGCTGAGGAGCTAAGTTGAGTGGAGGAGCTCTTTGTTGACTCTCACCCCCGTCCCTTCTGCCCGCTGGTTCCTAGCGCTGCTGAAGAGACCAGTTCCCTGGCCCCAGCGGGCAGCCTTGCTCCCTAGTTCCATAGGCCTCTGTCCAACCACACCGTCCAAATCTATCCCAGCCAGAAAATTATTTTTTTCTTGCTACCCCTTTATTTTATTATCTGTTTTAAAGGATCAAAATAAATTATCATTAAAATGCCTAATGACTGAAATGTTTCCTTTCCTGTTTTGTGTACCTTCTCTCCCATGTTTGGTTAAATATCAGAAGGTCTCTCTTATACTCACTGTGAAGACCAATGGTTGTACAGATGCTTGCCTTCTCTTTCTAGGCACTGTACCTTCACCTGAAAGGGTTTAATCAAGGAATCAAGTGTATTAGGTACCATATTGACTTTGACAAAGATGTTATCCTCTAGGGTTAGAAAGGGAATGGTAGTCCACATATCCTCAAAATTTGGGTCCTTGTACAGCATCATTGAGACAGAAAAATTCCCATCTTCTGTGTTCAGTGTAATGGTTCTGTAAACAACAGTTCAGATCAATCAAGCAATTAAAGTGGCATACACATTATCATGAGTGTATACAAAAGTAAAGCTAAAACATTTTTAACTGCCATGGTTGAAGTGTTTAATAAAGTCTGCACTACAGAGAAGCAGCAAGGCGCCTAGTGATCAGGTGTAACCAGTTAGATTATCTACACTCAATGGCTTGACTCACCATGGGGCAGACCCTGTCCCACACCCTTTGGCTGCTTAACATCATGACAGTAGTGCTGGTTGGAAAATCTTTGACAGAACCATTTTCCATCAGAAAATGCATTTGACAATGTTGCAACATTCCATTTTGACATTTTCAGAATGAAACATTTCAATTTTCCATTTGGAAATGACTTTTCATTTCATTTTGTATTGTATTATAATGGCAAATAAAAATAATGGCAAAATGAAAACAAAATGAAATGATTTTTTTTCAGAATTTTCTTTCACTGAGAATTTTGAAGAGTTTATGGATTTCCTTCCTAATTAGAATGAAGACACAAAATCCTTCACAAAATGGAATTTGCATTCTGCCATACAGCTCTACTCTCCAGTGATGCAAAACAGCTATAAAGCCAATGGATCTGACTCACTAAGGATTTTCGCTAGCCAGGGGAATCCCCAGATGGGCTGAGCTGCTATACTGGTTCCTATGCCACTATCTTTCTCCTCAGTGCAATGGGGTGTATCTGGAGGAAAGCGGGTAAGCCCCAATTATCTCTGACTGCCACAATGATTCTTTGGGGCCACTGATAGCCAGGCGTAAGTTTGAGCAGCCTCTGATCTTCTTCAGTTTATGACAGAATCTGGTCCATCCCATGGTTGTCTCCGGGATCGGGTTAGCATAGGGGTGATTTAAAGCTACCTTTGCATCCACACTCCAATGGTCTTGCCCTGATAGGGTGACCAGATGTTCCAATTTTATAGGGACAGTCCCGATATTTGGGTCTTTTTCTTATATAGGCACCTATTACCCCTCACCCCTGTCCCAATTTTTAACACTATCTGGTCACTCTAGGCCCTGAAAACAGGTTAGTCAGATTTGGGGATCTGGGCCCATGTGCGCAGACTCCACAGTACTCTAGCTAAGACTCAAACCATGGCTATCATAGTATGAGCCAGGAAGGCCAAGCCAATATGAATTGTGAAAGTGTGTCTGAGCTAGAAATAATTCTTAGTGTCTCTTCCAGGGATTCCTCTATTTTTTCACACTAGTGTTTCTAGATTTTTCCCTTTTGCCTTCAGAGGTCCTCTTGTTTCAGGAAACAGAATCAGTTATTTCAAAATAACAAAAAACAGGCTGAAAGAGAACATTAGTAAAAAAGTATTCTGTTACCCAGGGTGGTGCTGGGGCCCTGTACTGCTGATGCTGCTGTCTTTCAGAAGACACACAAAACTGAGGCCCTAAGTGTGGAGCCTCTAATGCAGCAAAACACTCATTACAAGCTCAAGTCCGACTGAAGTCAATGGGACTTGAACACAAGTAAAAAATTTGCTATATGTTTAAGTGCTTTGCTGAACTGGGGTCCTCTCATGGTCATTTTTCACAAGAATAGGCTGTTAGCCCCAGTGTCCGTCCAGTTTCCATCTCTAGTATTTAGGGGTGAAGTGATTAATCTAGGCCCAGATCTACTTACACGCTGGGGTTACCCTGACAGCTGGGAGTGTGTTTATGCATGCCAGCTGACTCAGTCATGCCTCCCATCTGTTGCTGGTACTTCCCCTATCTTGGCTGACATTGTACCTTGTGGCCCCAGAATTCATTTCTTCTTCTCTGAGTTCTGGGCTGGGAGCAGATGGGTGACCAGCAGCAATCAGCTGTGCACCATGATGCCAGTAGCATACTGAAGCAATGATTCAAGAGCTCCTCCATCGGTGAGTCCTAGATCGCCAAAATCCCAATTAATTTAGTAATGATTTGTATTACTGTAGTACCCAGAGGCTCCATTGTATGGACATAAAGAAAGACAGCCCCAGCTCTGAAGAGCTTACTGTGTGAAACAGACAAGACAAAGGAAGTATTATTAGTTCCATATTTTAGTTTAACAGGTGGGCAGCTGAGGCACAGAGAGATTAAGTATATCACCCAGGAAGTCCATTACAGAGCCTGGGACTGGACAGAAATCTCCGAGTCCCAGTCCAATCTCCTAGCCAAAAGAGCGTCCTTCCTCTCAGTAAATGTGTCCCAGCCAATAGTACACTATATTATGCAGCCTACAAAAGATTGGCTCTGGTTCTTCTGGATGAAACAAGCTATGTGAAACTAGACAAATGAGAAGTGTGTACAGCTTCTGGCTTAATTTGCCTTTGTTCTCAATGGAGCTTTATGCAGGGCAATTTAATAGTACAAGCTAGAAAACAAAAACAAAAGGAGTTACCTGATGTCAACACTGATTTTATTCTCTCCATTAGGCTGTTGTACCATGTAATTAACAGGGTATCGGCAAGCAAATGTGATATTGATAAAGGTCCTTGTAATTATATCAGAGAAATTGCTTTGTATAGTGTTGATGAAAACAATGTGTGCACCATCAGAAGCCTGAAAGATAATACAAAATATAGAGAGTTGTTGCTATTTCTGTATAAAGAGCCTAAGTTGCATAATATGCTGAATACTTAGGGATGCATGTATCACTGTACATTCTGGAACTCCATTAAAAGTAATTATTATTATTATTAGTTAATTAAGTTTATGGCACAGTACAAACAGACACCACTCGATAGCTCCTGCCCAGAAGACCTTACAATCTAAAGGTATGGTCCTGCCTCTGCATTCAGATATGGTAGTAGGTGTGTGGTAATGGATATGCAGGACTTGGAGACATGATTGTCATCATACAAGGAGACCCAGTAATAGACTTGTAAAAGACAAATGTGCAGATGGAGTCATGGCAAGCTGTGTATAGACATATGATAAAGAATGTTCATGGAGGTGGAGCGCTAGGCGTGTGTGAAGATATTGTAATGCCTGGAAGCAAACCAAGATTGTAAGCACGGGAGTGCATGTGCTCCCAGAGGCAAATTAATGAGCATGGAGGTTCCCATGCATTTTCCTAATACAATTCTGTTGATGTCTAAGGGGTTGCATGGGATTTGATTCATGGCAGAATTTGGCATTTTATTATTGCTGGGGCTTTCCAACCTAAACTGCATATGTACAGCAAATCTTTGCAATTGCCTGTAATAAGACCTGCTCAGATGCACCTCTGGCAATATGAGCTTTTTGATCAGTGACAGTTAATGTCTGACAGGGAAGTTATATTTTAACACATTAAGCGTTAGTAATATTTTTACTAGTGAGCCCACATTACTAATATTAATAATTCAGACAACATGTATGATTGGTGTTAGTGCTACAGTGTTCTAGGAACTCTTTGTGGCCGCATCAGTCTTGCTGAATGTCTGAGAGAATAACAAGAAACTACGACTGAGTAGCAGCAATGGAACATACAGAGAAAATACCAAATTCTTTGATTCAGAGTTAAACATTTGAGTTATTCTGCAGTTGTAATCTACCACAGCTGTAGCACACAGAGAAACAAACATGCTATTCAAAGGAAGTAATACAACTACTTCACAACAACAGCATTTTGTGCATATTACCATTCTAGTCCCACAGTCTGTGAAATTGGTTATAATGCTGAATACGTAGAAGCTTCCTGTCTCAGTGCCATGGCATTCTGGGTCATTGAGGTGTAAATCAGAGATCTGGAATGAAATCATCATTTTTTGTACAGTTTATCACACTTTTAGCACCAGTTTATTTCCTCACTACCTAATCCATACAATATTCTGGGTTTTAAGACCTAATGTTTCACCATCAAATAGTAAAACAAAGAGGACACTATTAATCTTAACTACTCAGAGTAAAAAACAAAAACAACCCTCCCTCCCCTCCCCACAACCAGATGACCAGACTCTTTAGAAAAAAGAGCCTGATTCTGTTCTCACACCAACGCAGGTGAGATCAACATCAGGGTCTAAAATACTATGGGCCAAATTATGGCTCTGAGGACCCGTGAAGCACACGACTTTCAGCATGTTACAGTGTGACTGTGTAATGCTTTCAGGGTGCTGGGGGAGAGAGAGCTGAGCAGCAGCAGTTATTATATCTGTCCTAAAGGTGGGGCAAGTGTTCCCTCAGCATTGCTCTGCCGGCCCAGGGTCCCGATCCAGCATTGCTCTGACGACCCAGGGCCATGACCACAATCTCTCTGGGGTGTACAGCACTGCAGGAAGTCAGGCAGTAGCATTGTGGCTGTTTCCCACAATGTTGTACTGGAGAGCTGTGGAGGATCCGTTTCTTGTGTTTTCTCCTCTCTAATCTTCCACCCCCGTCCAGGGCAGGCATAACAAAACCCTGCGAGTTTGATTTAGATGACTCCGATATAAACTTTGCTCCTTTTTTGTTATTGCTTGTGCTGCCAACACTGCTTTCTAATGTAATGCCAGCATGCTTGACTTTTCATGGCAATTTGTGTTGTCAGCTGAAGGCAGGCGGGTAAGTCTCACAGGTCTCATAGCAGCTCCAGGAAAATGGTGGCAAAGAATACAGCAAGACATTACCATACATATCTTCTTTTCACACCTCTCTGCCTCCCCCATTCCAGTCACTAAGTAGACCAATCCATCAACAAGCAATAAAAAACAACAAACGTGAACAGAGTTCTTGTAATAACTCAGCAAATTATGCAGTACACTGAAAATATCTTAACTGCCATCAAATTTCCCCTCTAGTGTAGCTGAAAAATGCAAGCATTCTGCCTGAATAATGATGAAAGGGACTCTTTAAAATGGTAACCTGAACCTTAAGGAAATGTCTCTCTCATGCGATACAGGACATAATGTTAAGTACTTGATGGTTTATGTAAAAGCTTAAGGGAACAGCTACATGACATATCTCTGTGCATAAGCTGCATGCAAAGCAGAACTTCACTCTGTTAAAAATATTGATAGACACACAATAGGGCCAAGTGTTCATTTCAAGCTCTCTTGTTTCTGAGTGTTTGTGACATTTGATCGTAGGGCATGCCCCCACCAAAGTACACAGTGAATCAGCAATAAAATCCCTGGATTGCAAACTGTTGAAACCCCGGGAAAGAAATATGCTCTCTTGCTAGAGGGAACAGTCAGAAACTCCTGCCAATCCCTCCTGACATTTCAGGAATCACAATTTGAAAAGAGAAATAATTGCTCTTTCTGGCAAGAGCCATACAGACAAACTTTCCACTTTTGTCTTCACTGGAGATGGGCTGTCTATACCTGTGGAGGATCTGGCTTATTATACTTTATTAAGGCCCCTTAACTAAGTCAAATAAAATGTATTTAAAGGGGCTTAATACTTGAATGCAATTTCACAAATTTTGGTCTAATCTGCACTGTCCCTTCCATGCAGGTGTCTACCTGGACCATAGTGTCCACCCATGGGATATTACAACTTAATATCTGATTGAGTCAAGGGGGAAAAGTACTAGGAGGAATCAAGGAGAAAAAGGCTCATTGTTTCCTCTTGGTCACTGCTAGATTATATAGCTTATAGGGTCACATATGGTGCATGGGTGGATTGTGTTGACCTCAACAGTAGCCATGATGATAGAATTTGGACCATCATTTGTTGTCTATCCAAATTCAGGAGCTTGCAAAATATCATGAGGATATGAACTACAGGTATGAATAATAGTCACTGAGATCAGAGGAAACCATATTGCATACTGGAAAAAAAGTTACCATATGTGAACACAGTATTTTTTTTTAAAAAGTATCTGAGCTGTTTAACATATGAGAGTACTTACTAGGATTGGAGGGTTCTTTGTTAGAAAGAATTTACTTGGAATCTCCACCTCAATCAGGTCTTTGGTACAGATGATGGTTTCATTGATTTCTGTATGAACATTAAAGTTGCTGCATGTTAAAGGGCGAGGACTTTCACCATTAAATTAGATCAAACAAATTATCTACCTTGGTTTTTCTATATCACAGCAATGGGCATGAAACAAGTACCTTGGACATGAATGGCATGTTGCACAGATCTGAGTACCAAGTTGTATGCATTTAGTACTCTGAGTGGCAAAAATTAATTCTTCAAGGAAATTTTTTTTATATCAGTTACTTTCTAATAGCTACATCCTCATTTTACTGTTGCCCCCACCTGCATTTAAAGTATAATAAGAAATGACTTTGCCTCTGTAAGGAATGTTATTTCTTCCTTTTCCTGTAGCTAAACGCTCCTAGCTGCCTTGCTGAGCTCTGCAAGTAGACAAGACTCCAGCTTATTTGTCCAGTTGGCATTCGTTGAAGTGGGATTTTTCCTCCAAAACTGTGGCGCATGTTGACACTGAAGCCTCATCTGGGTTGAGGATTTGTCAGCTACCTCAGTGCAAATGGCTACGTTCCTAGTCTACACTAGTGGCTTGTGTTGGTGCCAGCTAAATAACTAGAAAAGGATCCTAGAGAGAAAGGAGGAGCCATTTGTTAGGGTGCTGGCATGAGGCCTGAGTGATTTCTCTGGCCCACCACAAACTTCCTGTGTGATCCTTGGCAAGTCACAGTCTGTCTGCGGCTCAGTTCCCGATCTGTAAAATGGGGACAATAGCACTTCCCTACCTCACAGGGGCATTTTAAGGCTAAGTATTTAAAGATTGTGAGGCACTCAGATACTGTGGTGATGGGGTCTGTATTAATATCACAGATAGTTATGGCCTCAGAGCAGGTTCATTGAAAGGCTTTTAAACCTGAGCAACTGAGCCTAGGCCAATTTATGGTTTCAATGCACAGTCAAATGAAACCTGGCAATTTCATCTGTTTTGTTTTAAGATTTTGGGTTCAGTTACACCACTAATTGCATATGAATTGCTGTACAATGCATGATGCAAGGTAAAACTCTTTTATAGGCCAGGTGTAATCCTTATGAAAGATCTTATGATTTAGCTATGTGGCTATTATGTTTGCTTTCTAGTCTTGGAGATTAACTATTTCCCAAAGTGCTATTCTTTAGACATATGTAGATATCATGGACAGGTACCATCTATTTCTCCACAGTGAATTGCTTAATGTAGTATGGTGGATGGAACATGAAGCTTGAAGGCATTTTATGTAAGTGAAGTAAAGCTATGTAGCCTGACCCAAGATGACTCTGCATCCAGTATGTATTTAACAAAAAGCCATACTGCTTAAAGCTGAGTAATAGATTCCATGGTTGAAACTTCTTCAATGACAATACATACAAAGAACAAAAAAATGCTATAATAAAAATCAGGGAACAAGCACAGCTGAGCAAAAATCAGAATACCATCTCATCCCATAGGAAATTCTGATATTTTGACATTCAAATCCTGACCAAAAAAATCAAAATATTAACATTTTTTGAAGAACAGAAAGTTCTGAAAAATTTCCGTTCAGAAATGTCAAAACAAAATATTGACATTCCTTAATCAAAACATTTTGTTTTGAATAAGTATGACATTAAACTGCCTTTGCCTAAGGTGCCATGGTGGCTCCCAGGGGTTGTAGTTCAGGCACTTCATACCCTCATTCTTTTCTATGGACTGGGCTCCTGGCTGGACTATATCTCCCATGATGCATTGTAGACCTGTGACTTCCATGATGCACCACACAGTTCAGTCATACAAGAGACTGTGGTACATAATGAGAGAGGTAGTCTGGCCAAAGAACCTGGCCCACAGGAGAGAATGGGAGCATGAAGCACCTGACCTACAACTCCCATGAGGCATGGTGTCAACTTAGGCAAATACAATTTAATGTCAAACTGACTTGAAACAAAATGTTTTGATTAAATTTAACAAACTGAAATAATTCAATTAAGGTTGAAACTTCCCAAAATGAAATTTTATTTCCATTTTTCCAACGGAAAAATGAAAGATTTCAGCAAAATTGAAATTTTCCCTTGTAAAATTTTGATTTTGCAGAAAGTAAATTTTCTATTGAAAATAATTTTGACAGGAAATTCCTGACCAGCTCTAGGAACAAGTCTATGGTTGCAACTCAGTTATCAGTTTACACAGTTATGCCCAGGGACTTCAGGAAACACAGCATGATGTGTGTGGTTTTGCATGCCATATGGTACAAGGCATAGACAAGTTGAGCATCTATTAGTTTTATTTTTAAGACAAAATTCTCTTCTTTGGGCCACACTATGATTCTCTTATCCAACGTGCAGATTTCTTTTGTATACTCTGCATTGTTCTAGGTACAGAATCAGTATAAAATATGCTTTAGAGAGCCATACTTTGAATTGGATAGGAACATTTTGCTTTTAGTGTTAGTGTAATATACATTCCTTTTGGAAAAATAATCTGTCATTTGTAGAGACACTTACATAGTATACATTTTGTTGTGCATTCATGCCAGTCTTTGTATTATACTGGAGAATCTTTAGAATGCAAATTATTAATACAACAGATAGTAATGTCCCAGTGAGTCAAAGCTTACTTTGGAACCTTTAATCCATGGTTTCTGGTTGTTGTAAATCATCATGTCTCTATCAAAACCTCTCATGTTAAGACCTAATTTAGCAATTCCCTCATTCACAGATCACTGGACCAATAAGCCACAAAGGTCATGTCAGAGTTCTTAAGGATCATTTAAATAATAAACCAACACAACTTCTTTCTCTCTGGTACTAAAAGGGATACAACAAATCTTTTATACATGATGGCAAAAGACCTGCTGCACTACAACATTTCTATTATTTTTGCTTTTTCTTTAACAGAACCAATTTTTTTTTAAATTATACAGTAAATTTTCTGTGGGCTTGAGAAATTTTCATCCTGGATTAATTTTCGGGACAAAAGTCCTCCTTTTCCTCTCTCTCTCTCAGACACACACACTTCTTAATATATTAAATACATTAAAATAATAATAATGGACCAAATCCTGAAGTTCTTACTCAGGAAAAATTCCTGTTGACTTAAATGGGAGTTTGCCCAGGAACTAGGCATTGGCTTACACTGAGCCGAGGTGTTTGTTCATGCTGTTTAATGCAAGACCAGTGATCAATAAGTTACCATCATCTATGATTTGACCAGGGATAAGAACCTTGATTTATGTATAACAGACATGTTAAGATGAGTCTGCAAAGCTAATGTTGTTCCAGCTGGTTCTGAATAGGTACTTGGCTCAGACCCAAGAGAGAAATGAGGAGGAAGAATGGCCTTGGGTTTTGTTACTGACTCCAAATTTGGAGTTGGGTGCTTATGCACTAATCTCAGGATGGAATTTATATTGTAAATAATCCATAAAAGCTCTTTCTGAGTTTCTCAGTTTCGTCATTGTGGTGATGCTGGAGATACTAAAACTGATACTCCTTGGTGACATCAGTGTCCACCTTTGATAATGATTCTTCTGGGTTGAGTTCCTGGCTACCATGACCACAGAGTTCTCACAGGTTGTTGATGTCTTCACCCATATAGTTGGCCACACTCTGGATCTAGTGTTTGGAATGCAGATTGGAGAGGTAACGATGACAAGCTTATCGTGGACTGATAAGGTTTGAGGTTGGGGCAGTCTTAGCTCATTAGAGTGAGACATATTTTGATGGACTGCCCAAGGAGTCAGCCAGAACCAGAACCATTTCAGAAGGCTCTGAGGAAGTGTACTCTTACCTAATGGCTTCTTGGCACTGCTGGTAGGGTGGCTATTATGAATATCTTTGTCCATGATTATTGATACAGTGGCTCTTAAACACTCTTCCCTCTCACAGCTCACTGCAGTCCAGGTGACGCAAGAAGGAAGACAGCTAAAGTGCTAGCGGTAGAAGTCCTGATCTGAGTTTAACTGATTGTGACATAAAAAAGATTATGAAATCTTACGCCCTCGCTGTGTGGGAATCAGTGAAAGGTTTATTTGCCGCTTTTAGTGCATATTTGAAGTCATAACCAGCAAGTGATAGAGAGCTTGATTAATCCAGGAGGCCTCTGCGTGGTTACAGAATTTACTTTTTTCTCGCAATGACGAATATTTAAGTTACTTTGTGAGTAAAAATCAGAATGGAGCTTGCTGTGTCCATGCGGTCAGAGGAGTTAGGGAACACACACTCAGTCAGTTTCTACCAGTGTTACTTGCTAGAATTTTGGAGATGGATGGAGGACTTCAGGCCACTATCTGTGAACTAGATGCATGTCCCACCTGGCTGGCTAAGGCCAGCAGGAGAGATAGTGACTCAGTTTGGTGGACACTGTCAACCGACAATCTTGTTGACTAAAGACTGGCATTAATTCTCCTGTCTTTAGGAAAGATTATTGAGGTGGTGGTTGCAGAGCAGGTATGGAAATATTTGATGTCTTTATATTCCCTTGCTCCTGCTCAATCTGTATTTAGACTTGGGTATGGGACAGAAACTGCTGTATTAGCACTTGTTGATGATTGGCTGCTCCTGGCTGTGGATGAAGACAATGAGCCTGACCAGAGTTGGTGTAAGTCAGTGCCACCAGCTGAAGGTCTGACCCAACAATGCCCTAGTTAGATTTGCCAGTTGCCTTTGATACGGTTGATCACATGGTGTTGCTTACAAAGATGCAGTCCTTAGTGGGAGTGGATGCCTTGAACTCCTCCTGTGGAAGTATGCAGAGGATGATTATGGGCAATTATTCATCCATCTCAGTGGCTCTCTCATGTGGGGCACTATAGCCATAATTGCCAACATTTGCCATGCCAGGACACTCCCCCATCCCCTTTCCATTTAGCAATATGGGAAGGACAGGGCAAGTCATGATCCTCAGGATGAAAACTCCTCTGCTAGAGAAGGAATCTACTCTCTCACTCCTCCTTCAATGTATGTATGAAGCCAGTAGGCAGGTTAGTATGGAAATACTGGTTATGGTGTCTATAGCATGCAGATGATCCCCAGCTGTGTATCCTCATGGT